CAGCGGTGCGGTCCCGCTGTCTCCGTTCAGTGTCACCCCAGCCTTATTGAGCTGATGTTCCTCCTAAGGCACAGACACACTGAGGTGCCAGGGAGCTCACGCCGGCAGAGGTGAAGGTGAGGTCTCTCCAGAGCAGATGTGGAGTGCAGCTCCTTGGCTGCCATCCTCACCTACCCTGATTCCCCATCCAAGGCAGCTTTCCCCTGTGGGCAAGCGATAAACCACCCAAAGGTGCTCTCGCCTAGCAGGAGATCTGCAAAGGTATTTAATTGCCTGAAGACAGGCACAGGCACCCAGAGCTGGAAGTGGTTCCTGTGGCAGGGGCTGGTGGAGCACAGAGCGGCCCTTCCCCACCAGCTCTCGCCCCAGGAGGACTCCCCACACTCATGTGGCATCTTCCTCAGCACTTAATTACTGCGGTTTTCGTGCAGTGAGCTTCAAGGCAAAGATTTGTTCAAAATAAAATGGAAGAACATTCCTGTTGTTTTTACCTAAATGCATTTTAAATAAAATTTAAAAGAAGAAGTGACACCTCTGAAATGCGGGGTACATCTCAGCTGGTGTAGCTCAATCAGCACAAGTCCTCCCACGCCAATGGAAATGGGCAAATTTACACCTCCTTGGAGACTTTTTTTTTCTTTATTGGCCTACATCTCTCTTCCCTGCGCATTTTCACCATATGCCCAGGGCTGAGAGGAAAGAGCCCATCTGTGCTCTCAGTGGCTCATCTAAACAAACACAGCGGAACACACGAAGCCAGCCATGGTGAGCGACCACGGGCCTGGCTCGCGGCTACGGGGGAGGGCGACGCGCGCCCGGGCGAGGAGCCGCGCCCACGGCCCCCCCCGCCCCCCGCCGGCACGGCGAAGGGGCTGGGGGGCTGCGGCACGGCGGTTCTGGAGGAGCACCCTGGCCACCGCCTCTGACCGGGGCTGTGGGGAACAAGGGACGGTGAAGCCGCAAGCACGGGTGTAGGCACATGCACAGGCAGGGGTGCAGGCAGGGGTGCCAGCCCACGCGGCTCCCAGAGGCAGCAAATATTCTGAAACCACAGCCAACGTTTTTGAGAAAAGTTAAGCAGTTTTATTCAACAGGATGAGTCCACACCCAGCTAGTGGCTTCATCTACATGGCATCATCAGCATACATGACAGAGGACCCACTCAGACACTCTAGCTGAACGGCATCTCACCATACGTTACAGAGACAACACCAGAGGAGGAGGAGGACCGTTACAAAGGGCAGCCAGCCAGCAGTTTCCTACGGCTTCCCGGCGTAACCAAACCCATCCCCACCAGACTACGCAGCCCAGCCACTCGGAAGCAGATCAGACTCGGGATACCTACTGCCACACTGTGAAAACCACAACACTGCTAGTTAAATAACACAGTCCAGCGTTTACAAAAATGACCTACCAGGGGTACTTCAGCCTAAGGAAGAAAGTGCACTGCCATCACCACCCCGGGGACCGACACACTTGCGTGCGCTGCTGAAGAGTCTGTACAGAGAAGATCGGCGTGGGTGCCATTGCTTTCGAGTCAGCACCATCGGAGGCAATGCCGAGCCCTGGGGAGGGCGGGCAAGCGCCAAGCTGCCCCTCCCGGAGGCGGCCATGGCACTGGGGGACGGGACGGGGCAGGTCCACAGGCACCCAGCGGGGTCTGCAGGAGCCGAGCCAGAGGTCGGCACTCGCTCTGCACAGCAGAGAAACAACTGCTCCGTGAAGACGCCCTCCTCTTGGCTGCCACGTCCCCAAGGAGGGGCTGTGTCTGCACCGGTCCCTCCGGACCCTCGCCTGGCGGGGCCCCACCGCCGCTCAGATCAACTACTCGGCCCTAAGTTTTCACAGTGAAAGCTCTGTGAATTCTCTGAAGCCTACAGTCTTTACGCCTTTAGAGAGGTATCGAGGATCAGGGTAAAGTTACTCATGAAACATGAGCAGGTTCCAGTTATGGTACTCCTACAATGTACGTGTTTCAATTTTGTGCCAAGTTAGCTTACAGAAAAATACATTTCTTCCCTTAAATTTACAGTAGTTAAAACTACAGTTTGAATACCGTATTAAAAAGGGGTAGTTTATACTTCAACAAAACACCTTGGTTTTCTTTTCTTTAAAAAAAAAAATTTAAAAGGACTTTAAAAGCAATCACTCCCAGCACAACGCAACTGTACAAAGGAAATCATGATGTGTACAGCTCCTAGGACATTAACTCCAAGCATTTGTTCTGGTGCTCAAAAAGGCACTTAAAGATAAGAAAACAATTGTATTAAAAACCCACAACAAAACAAAACAAAGGAAAACAAAAGGCAATAATTTAATAGAAAGACACTGGAACTTGTACCTTATCTTCAAAAGTAAGAAGGAAGGGGGGGAAAAAAAAAAAAAACTAATAAACATTGTTTTGCTATCAAGTCATCTTTGAAAGTATATAAAAAAACCCAGAAGACTAGCAAAGTGAATGTTCTCCAGGAACTAAATGGAAAAAAAAAAATTACTGGCAACGAACACACAGCTCTCGTGCCAAATGGGTTTCTTCCCTCCCCCTAAAAGCACATTTGCTGGTTCATTACTAGACCAGACTGACAGACTGTTTGAACATCTGCTGCCCGTAATGACAGAGGCATTGACCTCAGGGTTAGCCTAAGTTAGGAAAGGGGGGAAAAATTATGAAGAAAAATAAGCATCAATATGAACTAATTGTGGTAATTACAAATGTCAACAATGTTAATAGACAAGTACATAAACACCATTTCCCCTTACAGCATTATACGGAGGAACAATGACAGAATCACTACATACAGTACTTCTCCCCCACTGTACACTGAAAGGTTAGCTTTGCGGCTTTGTTTTTTTACTTTTTTTATTACTATTATTATTGGGTTTTATTTTTACATTGAGCTACCTACTAAGTGCAAAGATTTGGTGAGTGGCATTGGCTTTCATCTAATCTTAGCCTATTTTTTTTGTACAGTTTACATGTTAACAGTTACTTTCCAGCATTTAAGCAAGTACAGCAATATATACACAGACTGGCAGAGGCGGGAGCCAGGCAGGAGCAGGGTGCGTGGAAGGGACACATGCTTGTGCACCGGGCATGGGAACAAACGCCAGGCCGGTGCCGGGTTTGCGACACCGGGTCTGTACCCAGCGCGGGGGTACGGGCTGCCTCGCACAGCCACGGGGCAGCTGAGGCGCGTGGGCGCGTTATGGGTGAGCTCCCCAGCCGAGACGGGAGCTGCGGCGGGGCCGGGGGGGGCGGCCGCCCCCGCCGGGACCGGTGGGCTCTGCCGCCCCGGCCGGCCCCTCCGCTGCCTTCGGGAAGTCAGGCTGCTCCTCTGGCCATGTGTGAGCTGGGGTCTGCAGCGGTGCTGGAGAGAAGAGGAAGATGAAGCGGGGAACAAACAAAAGCCCTGGGCAGGGGCAGGTGACTGCTGGATGAGGCAGGAGGGCTCGCTAGCTTCTTTGCGCAGGGACAGACAGAACAGCAGAAATCAGTGACAGCGGGAAGGAAGGATGAACATTTATGAGCCATTAGTGCAGCTTTTCTAGGCAGCTGAGAGACTCACGATGGCCCGTTTCACACTGGGGTTGTACGTGATCATGTGGAAGCGACCAAATTAAACCATGGGTCATTGCATGGAAATCTGTACAAGAAGCAAAAAACTGCAGGAGAAGCACAGAGTGTCTTGAATTCAGCGCTTACAGAAGAGACTTGATTATCAGACAAAGTACCATGCAATCTCCAGCTCTTTCTGCATATTTTTTCTCTGGGTTAAATGTTCAGAGGAAAACCAAAATGTAGATTCTTTTGCATAAACTCAAACTGTTGTATTATATAGTACAGTACAGAAAGTGCAAAATATCACCCCATCAGATCAGTTCCGCATCTGATATGGTCAAATATGGCTCATGCTTTTCATGCAAAAAGACGCAATCTGAATCAAGACCCTCATGTACTGCTGTGCAACTTCAAATAAAGGAACGTTGTTGTACCAAAGTCTCCTCACCTGTTTAGTCCTATCTGTCAAGATACCATTAGTTTTCTTCTAAAAAAACAAGGAAAAAAAAAGAAATGTGTGGGTAAAGGGAAATGAAGCATCTCAAAACTGTGTAAGTTACTCTATGCTTTACCACAGGTTTGTCACTAGTCCTTGTTCATTCCGAAATCTTCAAGCGCATCAGAATTCTGCGGACCCCGCGGTGCAGGCAGGGCAGCACTGTGCCCCGGCGCAGCAGCTACGTCCTCCTCCCTGCGTGAAGCCGATGGAGCACGCCTCGTTCTCTGTCCCTGCTCCTGCCGGGTGCTGCTGGCCGGGGCGTCACAGCACACACGAAGGCGTCTCGGAATTCAGCTTGAAAAGACACTCCAGCCGGCCTGACACACACTGTCATTTATGAATTTCCAGCTCTTCTCCATAGGCCAGCAGTGAACAAAACCCACTGTATCCCTCCCGCCCCCCCGTTTTTTTTAAATGCCAAGAAGTGCAGAAAATAAATTCCAGGACTGGCCTTGTATTGCTCGATGCACAGCTGCTACGTACCTCCACGCACACACACGCACACAAATAGCCTGGAAAAAAAACCAAATCAACCCAACATCTCTAGAGAGGACATTTCAGAGCCAGTTTCTGAGGTAAATCTACTTTTTTAAAAAAGTCACCGAATTCTGTACACTTTTTTTTTTTTAATATATACTTCTACATATAGCGTGTATTCTCCAGTGCCAACATGTAGACCCGCCGTCTCCTCCTGCTGTAGGACTGCAAGCTTGGGAAGTGTTTCTGCATGGATGGGGGTGTGTGTGCACACATATGTACATACACACATATATGTACAATCAACCATCAGGCCTAGGCTACGCACTTGTTCCCCTTTTGGAGAGGTTCCTTTTGAGCACGGTTTTGACTTCCCGCTTGGCTAAGTGGGGCTTTGCTGAGCTGCCGGCCCCGCTGCCACTGTCCAGGCGCTGGCTCTCCCCGCCGTGTTCCCTGTGCCCCAGCCTACATAGTGCCTGATTTATCCGTCGAGCTGCTGGGGAAGAGCTTCTCAGTGGGGGTGACGGCAGGGCTGCCCACCCCCGCGCTGCTGCTGCTGCTGGAGCGGTGCTGTACCCCCGGCCGCATTGGCGGGGGGGGCGCG